TTTGTTTACCAAACATTCAAATGTTGATTTTGTAACGTGCAACAATTCTGAAACAAAATATTAGTGACCAACTTAACTGATTATTCTCCTAGTTGATTCCTTTTTGAGCACAGCTAAAGCTGATTAAATCAGCATCTACAACAATACCAAACTAAGCCTTGGTAAAGATTATTGATAATGAGAAATAGATGCTCGTTTGGAATCTAATAACTTGCATTCATTTAAGCGACATCGTTTAATTGGCTTGAAATAAATTGGATTTGGCAGGTCCCATTAAGAGTTTCGCTTTTTTATTTTCTGCTGCAGAATTTTACTAATTGATGCATTTCATTCGTTGTTTTCTTTCCTGTCCTTTCTAGTGCGTAATGAAAATTCTTTGATTGTTATTTCTGCAGCCTGGTCCAAGAAACACCCTAGTTCAGTGTTTCATAAAAAGGGAACGTAGTAACCAAACATATCGCCTTTATCTCAATTTGAATCAAGGTGAAGGCCTCCAGATATATCATGAATTCTCAATTTATTTTACACATACATTTGTCTATCTAACAATTTAAGCATATATTTAGAATATCAAGCACCATTTTTCACCTAATATGCATTTTGCACCCTTTTGTCATTTGGCAGCTTCTAATGATGATGGGAAATTCCTACTTGTTGCTCGAAGATGTAGGCGACCAACATACACAGATTACATAATATCTCTAAATGCTGATAATGTGTCAAAGGGAAGCAGCACATACATTGGGAAGTTGAGGTAAATTGACTTGTAAACTCATTATTCCTTCATAAACGTAATTGCAGATTGAAATTTCATCATTTTTAACGATGGCAGATCTAATTTTCTGGGAACCAAGTTCATAATCTACGACTCACAGCCACCAAATGCCGGAGCCAGAGTCGCTAAATCTCGTTCCACAAGGTTGATTCAAATGAGACAGGTCTCTCCCAGGGTCCCTGCTGGCAACTATCCTGTGGCGCACATTTCGTATGAGTTGAACGTCTTGGGTTCAAGGTGAGAGATTAGTCCCTTTGGCATAATTATCTGAAGATGACATTATTAAAGGAACTGACAAACGACTAGCATCATTCTTAAACTTGTTAGTTTTGAAAAAAAAAATTGAGCATTTCCCATTTTTGGCTATTGATATATATTGCTGTGATATACATTGCTCTTTAAGTATGCCTTTTATAATATCTGGGGTGGGGTGGGGTGTGATAGGGTTCTGAAGGATGAATTGGACATGGACAGTTCCAATAAGATTATATTCTTCAGCAAAAATCTATTTTTTTTCTTGCTGATATAAGTATATATTGCGGATGTAGGGGTCCGAGGCGGATGCAGTGTGTCATGGATGCTATACCTGCTTCTGCTGTTGATCCTGGAGGTGTGGCTCCTACACAAACTGAATTTCTGACTGGAAACTTAGATTCCTTCCCATCCCTCCCATTTTTCAGATCAAAATCAAGTCGTACGCACAGTTTCCAGTCTGAATCTTTGTCGCCTGAAAGAGGAGATGAAACGCTAATTTTGAAAAACAAGGCTCCTAGATGGCATGAGCAACTCCAGTGTTGGTGTCTCAATTTCAATGGACGTGTGACGGTTGCTTCTGTAAAGAATTTTCAGCTTGTTGTATCTATTAGGAATGGATCTGGTGGACAAGAGCTCGAGAATGTTATTCTCCAATTCGGGAAAGTGGGAAAGGATGTGTTCACCATGGACTATCAGTATCCAATATCTGCTTTCCAGGCGTTTGCCATTTGTCTCAGCAGCTTTGATACCAAAATTGCCTGCGAATGACTTCAGGTTCTATGCTATATCCTTAATGCCTATATCGAAACGGACAAAATTGAAATTTACTAATTCTTTTACTTTTGGTATTAATTGCACCTCTATCTTAATGCAAAATTACTTGGCATAGAAAATGGTCTTATGTTACCGTAGTTGATAGCATAGCAGTGACGAATCTAGGATTAGGGCTATGGGTGAACTAGATTGACAAGAACTATACTCGACTTTTCCCTGAATTTTGATTTGTTTTTTCTAAAGATTTTGTCCACAATTATGCATTGAATTTTAGAAACTTGGGTGCCATTCGCCCTCCTCTCACATGTAAGGTTGATATTCTATCAATAAAAGACATTTTCATCCTCAGAATGCTTTTAATTTTAGGTTCTCTTAACTCATATTTTGAACCTTGCAGGGCCAGCTTGGGAGGCAATATGAGCTACGTGAATATGATATCGGCAAATTTCAATAGCTGCCTTTTTTTTCTTTATTAATGTGTGGTTCTTTAATTCAGCTGGACTTCTCGTTTTGTTTCTTTTTCATTTTTCTTTTTTTACTTTTTGGTGTTCATTTTTCTTCCTGTATAACTGCTTGTATCATTAACTCCTAGCTATTTGACTGTGTGATTTACAACCTTGTTCGTCTCTAGCAGTTATCTTTTGGAAATTGGTTTTCACAATTGTTACATCAATGAAAGTTGTCTTGGATTGCAGATTTTTACCATCTTATACAGGAAGTTTGAATAAAAACACACCCAGCGTGATCTATCTATAAGCAACTTTGGGCAGTGACGGACCCAGCATTGAAGCTCAGTTCGGGCGGACGTTGACCTGTCAACGTCGACAATCAGCGATTTCAAGAGCAAGATCGTTTATTAATATTTAATTAAATAATATTAAAAATTACTTAATATATATTTAAACACACTAAAACGTAAAAATTATATATATATGAAAACGTAATTCAATACACTCCAAAATACAAAAACAATACGCAATACAACCTACTCTGTAGCTGTGACCNTAATATTTAATTAAATAATATTAAAAATTACTTAATATATATGTAAACGCACTAAAACGTAAAAATCATATATATATATATATATATGAAAACGTAATTCAATACAACCCTAAATCTTAATTTCCTAAAAACCCGAAATTTCCAAATCACAATTCAAAAACATAATTCAAAATTATGAGTCATAACTCAGTTAATATAAATTCTTATTTCTCATAATTTACAAATTAACAAAAATTGAAGCAAAAAAAAAAGGGAATTCAAAAATAGAAATATACAGTTTACAGGAATGTACCCATCCATAAATTCTCGTTTACTGATTTCTCATAATTCATTAATAGCAAGTAGGAAATAATTCATTAATAGCAAGTAGGAAATAGGCAAATTCAAATACATTATACATACCTCAGCCAGGCAAAACTGTAGAAGCCGCAGCAGAAAACGCAATCGGAAGGCTGAAGCTCCACTCCAGCCCCCACTGCTCCAGCCCAAAAACTCACAGCTCCAGCCTCCACCGTCCTCCTCAAAATAATTTTGCCAATCGCCCTCGTCGCCCACTACCCAGAATATGATATGACGAAATTACACCCACACCTGGAAATAGATTTCCCAATTTCAAAAATCCAATAACAAGTTCAAACTTTCAAAAATCAGATTTTATTTAATAATTTAAAAATATTTNATGAAAACGTAATTCAATACAATCCTAAATCTTAATTTCCTAAAAACCCGAAATTTCCAAATCACAATTCAAAAACATAATTCAAAATTATGAGTCATAACTCAGTTAATATAAATTTTTATTTCTCATAATTTACAAATTAACAAAAATTGAAGCAAAAAAAAAAAGGGAATTCAAAAACAGAAATATACAGTCTACAGGAATGCACCCATCCATAAATTCTCGTTTACTCATTTCTTATAATTCATTAATAGCAAGTAGGAAATAGGCAAATTCAAATACATTATACATACCTCAGCCAGGCAAAACTGTAGAAGCCGCAGCAGAAAATGCAATCGGAAGGCTGAAGCTCCACTCCAGCCCCCACTGCTCCAGCCCAAAAACTCACAGCTCCAACCTCCACCGTCCTCCTCAAAATAATTTTGCCGATCGCCCTCGTCGCCCACTACCCAGAATATGATATTTGGATTGTTTAATTGGTTTTGTTAAATGTTGTGGCTATTGGATTTGGGCCATTGTCTAAATAGAATTCAAGCAAAACCTATGGCCAATTCGCCATTGATTGGGCTAATCATTGGGCCTTTTTTTTAAATAAGGCCCAAAAATTTTTGAAATTTCCAACTCCCCCTTCTTCTGTTCTTCATCTTCTTCCCGGCTCTCGACGATCGTCTGAAGTTTCCGATAGACCAAGCACAGGCAGCCGCGAGGGCTGTCTAAATGCTGGGTCCGCCCCGGACTACGGGTACAATTATATGGAAACTATCGGCGTTATCAACTATAGTCGCCATCATACTCGAACTAGAAATTTGAAATAAAATAAATAATGTTATTTATCATTATGATGGTGGTACACCGGTGATGTTCGATCGTCATGATGATAAATAGCATTTTGTACTTTTATATTTACTACACATTATTTGATTACTTTTGTCATTTGTCACACGTAAATTTGTTATAATTTCAATTTTAACAATTATTGGTAAACTATGATGAAAAATTTCAGTACATCGAGTCATATTATCAGCATCAAAATACAAAGGTAATTCTTGAATTCTTCTAAAATAAAAATCAAATGTTTTCTTAATTTTTTATGCTTGTAATGAATAAATTTTAAAATATAAAATAACTTGTGTCCTTTTCTATTTGTAACAGTTTTGTTACAGAATCAAAATATAATAAAGGGTAATTATATTGCCACTACAAATTTTAATTATCACACTACATTATAATCACACCACAATTAAA